TATTAAAATGCGTTTTAGTAGAAAAAGTGTATGAAAATACAGAACCATTTGAAAACGAATATATTCAAACAATAACATGTGCTGGGACAGAGGATTTGTCATCTGGATTGTTTTCTGGTATGTTCTATTCGCATTTCTAATACGTAATACGTTTGAAAAGAAATAAACTTCCACTCCATGAAATAATAAATAGAAAATATCTTTGGCCGATTAAGATTTAGCCACAAGCCATACAATTGGTTACGATTTTATCAATTAGCAAGGCATTAAATATTAAATTTCCTATGACTGGCAACAAAAACGCAATGTATTTTTCGTCTCAATTTTTAATACCAACGATTCGATATTTCATCAAAACTGAACGAGCATTTTTGGCGCATCCCATGTCTATGATATCAAAAGTATTTAATATTCTTAGAAAATAATTTACTATAACAACTTTTCGATATGGCCCCAATTAGGAAACTAATTCAGATGGTATTTTCGCAATCACTTTTGTTATTAATTTCATGATAATTCCTTCATTGTAATTGACACATTTTCATTTTTCCAGTCTTCTTTTTACTCCTGTTCAAGTTCTTGTTTGAGTGACGGGATGAGTGTTAATCCGTCCCGCCGCCTGGCATCTAGCGGATTGAAATGAAGTAAATTAGCAAACCACTAAATAAGGTTTTATTGTCCTTTTTTGCATCATTTAATAAGAATTTGTTTTATTTACTTCAACTCTGGCTTCCCATTTTCATTTCCACTTGGACATCCTTAACGCTCTTGGGCTGGGTCACCACATACACACAAGATGTGTCCATATCTGGATTGATAAGTGGAGACGAACGAACAGGAGGGGAACGAAACGCCGATATGTATGAAAAAACTAAACATTATCAAGAGACTTGCCCAACAACAAAAACTAGAACATCACAAACTAATTGTATTATTTGCCAAGGAGGACAAGACAATGGCATGTGGACGAAGAGGAACGACATCAGCAACGACACTGTATTTCAGTCCTTTGCAAATTGGACGGAGGTGGTTGTAGGGGGGCCGAAGGCAAGCTTTGTTAATTACCCTGCTATTGTCTATAACGTTTTGTGGCATATTAAGAGAATTACTTTACCATGCGATACAATAATAGCCGTAGCAACAGCAACCCGATAAACGAACATATAAAGCTAGTAAGCCAGTCAGTCACTCGGTTAGTCAGTCAGCTAGTCAGCGAGTCATTCAAAGTGATGGAGATTTCCATCTTATTTGAATTCATTCCTATGTCTGTGTGTACGTTTGAGAGTGTGTGTGTGATTGTGCTTGTGAGGATATAAAATATCTTTTTACTGATTAAAGATAAAACGAAATAAGAAGAAGGTTTTATGCTCGTTGAAGGTAATTAGCAACTGACATGAATTGTTCATTAACTCTGACTGGCTGGTATGCTTGCCTACGGAAGGGGGTGGTTGCTTGTTTGCCTAACTAAACTGGGTTGAATTGGATTAGATTGACCATAACTTAAGACCCATATCTCTTTTTGTGTTGGGGGTTAAGGTGGATACACCAACCAATTTAATGACAGACGCCATGAACCCCCCTAAGTCCGCCGGACAAGGGTTTACGCATTACATTTGAATTGATAAAAAGTATTTTAAAAAGGTGTAGGAGTGAAGATGATGTGGTCATATAATTGTCAAGGCAAATATCTATAGAAATTGCAACAATACGACAATATGTGTTTCATGGACCATAAATAATAATATTGCAATTCCGATTCCAGCGAATTAATTTTTTGTCGACCTTGAGGAGATAAAATTCGTTACGGTTTTATGAACAACAAACGCACACACTAAAACATAAATACAAAATATCCATAGTTATATTCGCATATCTTCCTTTTCCGATTTATTTATTGCATATCGAAACACCGTTTGAATTGCTCAAGGCTATTTTGTGTGTAAATTGAAAATTAAAAACTGTTCTGTTTTGAAAACCGGCGAAAATCTAGGGATTGTGGTAATGACAAAATTGGCAAGTCTTGTGAAACCTCGATTTTGTGGCCAAATCACAGCCAAATAGCCGAGTCAAGCAGCTAGCCAGCCAACCAAACAAACAACCCACCAGCCATTAAGTCAAGGACATTCTGCGTGTAATAAATTGTCGTGGCTGCATTTTGCGGCTCAGGTCTAGCGAAAATGTTATTGCTTTCTGTTCGATGCATTCAAGGCTAATGTTTTTGTTTTGCTGGGAAAATCCCGGCCAGCATATGTGCGGATGTGCAAATCCACATTTAGTTCTTGTTCTTTTGGAATTGTTACAATTGCAGCAGCAACAACAACAGCATGACTCGACACAACAAGGACTTGTGAAGAAATTGAAAACCAATGTGGCCACACACAATTAAGTACGGACTGACTGGCATAATTGTCAAATCTTAAATGTCCTTTATTTCTCTCAATACAGCTTCATAATTGAAATGTCAAAATAAAATTCCCACAGGAAATTGATGCTGCAGCAATGAAAAGAAAGAAAGAAAAGAAAAACAAAACAAAATGCCACCACACATATGAAAACATAGACTCCCAACTCTCTGGGTTGCCTGACATATTTCCTTCCTTCCTCCCCTGGACATCCTGGTGTTCGTTCATATACTAGCCAAAGGTCATTTCTATGCCTCGCAAAAGCAATATCTGTGTCTGAGGCCGAGTGTGAATTGCAAAAGTAATTGAATTGAATTGAATTCTATAGAAAATGTTCTTACAACAAAACTTACCTCTATTGTTGACTTCCGGACCAACCAAGAAGTTCCTCAAGTTGCATATGTAAGTATGATGATAAATGGTCACATAGCAGCAGCAAGCACAACAATGCATTGTCCGAACGACTGATGGTGGTATCTGAAGGAAAAATCAAACAACAACAACAAGATAAAAATAATAACATTAATCACAACTTGAGGGCAACACAAAAAAAGACACAAACACACAAAGAATATAATCGTATTTTTGGTTTATAAATTTATGGTCAAAACTATTGATTTCCTGAAAAAAGACGCTTGTCAACGAACATAAGCAGTACCACTATCCTTAAGGAATCAAGGACCAGGTATTCATATCAAAGACAAAAGCCAAACGCATTGTTAGGACTGGACAAGCGGAAGTAAATAGTAATGCCAAATCCCATACACAGATTGAGAAAGAGAGAGAGAAGGGAAGGGAAGAAAAAAGTTATTTAACGCACAATGACGTATGTTCGTAATCAGCTTAAAATGCAAAGCGGATTTAAAAAAGGACACCGTCGATGTTGATGTCGTCGTCATCATCGTCGTCGAAGCAAGCATCCCATTAACTTAACTCCATTCTTTTGTATTCAAAATCATGTTTGATGGATTACCGAAGTTCGTTGAAGAATGTAGACCAAACAAGCATCCAACACTAGTTGACTTTTCCGTGCATATACCTATGTGTTCACCACCACCAACACCACACTGCAGCTGTGTGAGTGAGCATTTTGCAAACTCATCTCATGCCGCCTCTAGTTACTTATCGGCCAAAGGAAATCTCTTAACATAATGTTATTTTTGAATGAGTCTTGTATTTAGGCATCCTGCTGTGGTGAGAATGTTCTTCTAAGGAAAATCTGTTGCGACAGCTGTTGGACAAGGATGCTGATGTCCGTCCAACATCTGTCTGTCTGTCTGCCATCAACGCACAAGAAAACACAAACCTAAAGACAATAAACTCTCCACAGAAATTGCATTAGTTCCACGGCCAAAGACGAGAGTAAGAAAGTGTCATCTCTCCCGCTCTCACACATAAACTCTTGCTCTCATTCGGAATTTGTTATGCTCTGTTATGATTATTCGACTCCCGTTCATGTCCTTTGAACAAACAGCATTGTACAACATGAACCATATGGCACCGTATTATACGTTCTTTTTGCTCTCTCCCTCTCTCGCTCTCTTGCATGTGTGCTGGTTGTGCAGAACACAATTCCACGCGTTCTCTCCACACAAGAAAGTATCACATCTATATAAGGGTTGTTGTAAGACCATAGCAAGTCAGTCTTTAGTTAGAACTTGTACGATAAACACCTCGATTCGTCGTTCTACAAATTCCTCATACAAAACACAAAACTAACTAACCAACAAGAAGAAGCAAAGAAAACACCAACAATTTACTTCACCCAAACTAAATAAAAAAAAAATATACACAGCCAGAGAAACGGGTGCGTCTTGTTTGTGACCAAGAAAAACGAAAAAATACAACAGCAACATAAATATATAAAGAAACGTGTGTACCGCCGCCGTCTTGTGGGAATCCCGCATTCAGTTTGTAATTAAATTCAATAACGTTTAATGTTCCTAATTAGACAAAAAGCCTAAAACAGTGAGGGCAAATAGTTACAAAATGTGTTTCTAATATTGCAACACCAAAAAGAAAAAGAAATAAATTAAGAAGGAAAATAAACGAATAGAGTGCCAGTGTGAATAATTTACAAAGAAGAAAATACAAAAAATAAAAAAAAAAACAACCAAACACAAATAGAAAATACAAAAGTTGAGGCCACATCCTTAACCACATCTGCACAGAGCAAAGAAAAGAAAAGCGATTTCCAGCAAATTAGAGAGTGCGTGAGTGTCGACGTGTGTTTTTGTTTAAGTGTCACAACAAAATATCATTCAAACAAAACAACAACAACAAACGATAAAGCGGACCAACGATAAATAAACAAATGAGAATTGCGAATAGCAATTTGCCACATTCGGTACGATAACGTTATGTGAAGATTGTCCGAAAAACGACAACTGAAACAACAGGCCTATCCACCACAAACTACGACAACAGCAACAACAATACGTGAATTTAGAACCGACCACAGCGGCCTTAAACCACATCACTCAAAATGCTTAAAAAGGATTAATAGACTTCCAAACACTTTCCCAATTTGTTTTACTTTTGGTTTTTCATTTTTGCCAAATATTTGGTTTCATTTCGTATTTTTGATTTGGTACACCGCACACACATACAAACCAACGACCGGATACAATGGCTTCTTCAGCGAAATTCATTGCAATTCTGGCTCTGACCAGTCTCTTCGTATGCAATGTCAGCATGCAACAGCAACAGTCACAACAACAGCAGCAACAACCACTGTCCACACATACAACGCAACAGCAGCTGCAGCAACATTCAAATGCCATCATGGGCGAAGCTGGTGTCTCCAATACCCAGTTACACTCGACACACATGGTCATGCATGGCTCACGAATGGATAGTCAAGATATGCGTTACGATACACCCGACGATTGTCATTTCTTGCCGGCAGCTGGACCGGAACATCCAGAAATTATGTTGACTTGCAATTTGCGCACCGTCAACAGTGAATTCGACACGACCAATTTCAGTGTCATACCATCTGAGCACACCGTGGGCCTACATGTCCTCTGCAACGATGAAATCATGGCCAAGAGCTCACTAGAGCCCCAATCCTTCGCCCATCTAACTCGCCTGCAGGAACTATCCATCAAGTACTGCAAGCTGTCCAAATTCAACAAAAACGTATTGGACGGCCTCAGTCAACTGCGCAACCTGACGGTTCGCACACACAACACCTTGTGGCCATCGCTCAGTTTCGACATTGAGGCCGATGCATTTGCTGTGGTAAAAAATTTGGAACGCCTCGATCTGTCATCCAACAACATTTGGTCCTTGCCCGAATACATCTTCTGTTCCCTAAGTGCTCTGATATCTCTCAACATGAGCGAAAATCGCTTGCAAGATGTCAATGAGTTGGGCTTCCGTGATCGCAGCAAGGAATACACTCCGGACACAACAGCTTCAACCGATTCCAAACGCCTCAATACAGCCTGCAATCTGGAAATTGAGGTTTTGGATGTGTCATTCAACCACTTTGTCCTGCTGCCCGCCAATGGCTTCGCCACCTTACGACGCCTTCGTGTCCTGCAGGTGAACAATAATGAAATTTCCATGATTGCCGATAAGGCTTTAAGTGGCTTGAAAAACCTGCAAATCCTCAATCTTAGCTCCAACAAAATCGTTGCTCTTCCCTCGGAGCTGTTTACCGAACAAGCGTCTTCCATTCAAGAAGTTTATCTACAAAACAATTCCATCAGTGTCCTGTCGCCCAAACTCTTTTCGAATTTGGAACAGTTACAGGCCTTGGATTTGTCCTACAACCAAATTACCTCCACCTGGATTGATCGCAGCACCTTTGTGGGTCTCATTCGGCTGGTGCTGCTGAATCTATCGCACAACAAACTAACCAAATTGGATGCTGAAATCTTCACAGACCTCTATACTCTTCAGATCCTTAATCTGCGTCACAACCAATTGGAAAACATTGCCGCCGAGACATTTGCCCCCATGAACAATCTGCACACCCTGCTCTTGTCACACAACAAACTCAAGTACTTGGACGCATATGCTCTGAATGGTCTGTACGTTCTGTCTCTGCTATCGCTAGACAACAATCATCTTATCGGTGTACATCCGGAGGCGTTCCGTAATTGCAGCTCCTTGCAGGATTTAAATTTGAATGGCAACCAATTGAAGACAGTGCCTTTGGCGTTGCGCAACATGAGACTGTTACGCACAGTCGATCTGGGTGAGAATATGATTACAGTGTTGGAAGACAATGCCTTCAAGGGCCTGAGCAACTTGTATGGTCTGCGCTTGATTGGCAACTATTTGGAGAACATTACCATGCACGCCTTCAAAGAGCTGCCCAGCTTGCAAATTTTGAACTTGGCCCGCAATCGCATTGCCGTTGTAGAACCCGGTGCCTTTGAAATGACGTCCAGCATCCAGGCCATACGCCTCGATGGCAACGATCTCAGCGATATCAATGGCCTCTTCAGCAACATGCCATCCCTGCTGTGGCTCAACATATCCGACAATCGCCTTGAGCACTTCGACTATGCCCATGTGCCTAGTACGCTCCAATGGCTTGACTTACATAAAAACCGTTTGGTTGAACTGTCGAATCGGTTCGGTCTAGATTCACAGATTCGCCTGCAGACCATCGATGCCAGTTTCAATCAGATTCAACGCATCTCCCCCTCCTCCATACCCAACTCCATTGAGCTATTGTTCATCAACGACAACCTCATCACCACCGTCGATCCGGATACATTCATGCACAAAACCAACCTAACACGCGTCGATCTTTACGCCAACCAGATTAGCACCTTGGACGTTAAATCTCTGCGCATTTTGCCCGTGCACGAACACCGCTCCCTGCCCGAGTTCTACATCGGTGGCAATCCATTCACATGCGACTGCAACATCGACTGGCTGCAGAAGATAAATCACATTAAATCGCGCCAGTACCCCCGCATTATGGACTTGGAAACAATCTACTGCAAGCTTCTGAATAACCGTGAACGTGCCTACATCCCCCTCATCGAAGCTGAGCCTAAACACTTTTTGTGCACCTACAAAACGCATTGTTTCGCCGTCTGTCACTGCTGTGAATTCGACGCCTGTGATTGTGAAATGACTTGCCCCACAAACTGCACGTGTTTCCACGACCAGACATGGTCCACCAATATCGTTGAGTGTTCCGGTGCTGGCTACTCAACCATGCCCCGCAAAGTGCCCATGGACACCACCGAATTGTACATCGATGGCAACAATTTCGTCGAGTTGGCCAGTCATTCGTTCTTGGGTCGCAAAAATCTCGCAGTGCTCTATGTGAACAACTCCAATGTCCAGATCATTTACAACACCACATTCAGTGGCCTGAAGCGTCTGGTGATTTTGCATTTGGAAGATAATCACATTACCTCGTTGGAGGGCAATGAGTTTGCCAACTTGGAAAACTTGCGGGAACTGTATCTGCAAAACAATCGCATCGCCACTATTGGCAACGGCAGTTTCCACGCCTTAAGGAAATTGGAGGTTTTGCGCTTGGACGGCAACCGTCTCATACACTTCGAGGTATGGCAACTGGCTTTGAATCCATACCTGGCTGAAATTGGTTTGGCCGATAACCAGTGGTCGTGTGAATGTAGCTATTTAATGCATTTCCGCACCTATTTGGCCCAGAACTCAGGCAAAATTATCGATGCATCTCGCGTTTCATGTGTCTACAACAACGCCACCAGTGTTTTGCGTGAAAAGAACGGCACCAAGTGTACCCTGCGAGAGGATGTTGCCACCTATGTACAGGCCAGCGAAATTGAAAGTCTTCTTCCTCTGCTTCTAATGGCCACCTGTGCTTTCGTGGGCTTCTTCGGTCTGATTATGGGACTCTTCTGTTATCGCCAAGAACTCAAGATGTGGGCTCACTCCAACTGCTTGCTGAACATGTGCTACAAGAATACTGGCTTCGTCGAAGAACTCGACAAGGAACGCCTTAACGATGTCTACTTTGCCTACAGTTTGCAGGATGAGCACTTCGTCAATCAAATACTAGCCCACAACTTGGAGAACGACATGGGCTACAGGGCCTGCTTGCATTACCGTGACATTAACATCAATGCCTATGTCACCGATGCCGTCATTGAGGCTGCCGAGAGCGCCAAACAATTCGTGTTGGTCCTGTCCAAGAACTTTTTGTACAACGAATGGTCTCGGTTCGAATACAAGAGTGCCCTGCACGAACTGGTCAAACGCAGAAAGCGAATTGTGTTCATTTTGTACGGTGACTTGCCGCAACGTGACATCGATATCGACATGCGTCACTACTTACGCACCAGTACCTGCATCGAGTGGGATGACAAGAAATTCTGGCAAAAATTGCGCCTGGCCTTGCCCCATGTACGCAGCAAACGCACCACCACGAACTGTTTAAGCAATCGCTCGTCGGTAAACATCTATGCTGCAGCCCATGAATATCAAACAACTGCTAATGGCCGTGCCAGTGGCGTAATGGTGGCCGATAAACCATACAGTGACTGCAGCAACTACGCCACAATTAATGACTGTGTCCGAGGATATGCTCCCATACCCACGGCAACGGCTAATTGTAAATTCAACACACTCAACGAGCTGGGCTACAAGGCGACCAAGGAAAGCAAGGAGATGCAGCATGCCAAAACCCTGGAGTTCCAGCGTCATCACAACCACATGCGACCACCACCACCAACAGCAGCCCTGTCATCGGCCCATATGCATCACCAGCAACAGCACGAGTATGCAGTGCCCTCGTACTACAGCATGGGCAACGGTCAAGTTCCAAGAGGCATGAGTGGTGCAGTGGGTGCTGGAGGTGGCGGCGTGCCGGAAATGTCTGCTCCCACATACGACAGCGTAGATTATTCGAAGCAATCCACTTTGCAGAAGACATCCAACAACTGCGATTGCAGTGGCGAGGGCACCAGCAGCAGACGCAAGCCCGGGTTGCAGGCAAGTTTCTCCTCCAACTTTACTCCCCCACCACCGCCTCTAACCAATGGCACCGTCACCAGTTATAACTCCAAAAAGCCAACCTGTAGTTGTCGACGTGGTGACGATAATCTCAGCTGTCGTTGTGGTGGAAGCAATGCGGCTAAACCCAGCAGCAGTAGTAATAGCTCCAGCAGCAATAGTTCCAATGACAGTTGTCGCCCCGACGACGATGACCTAAATCATTACGAATCGAATCTATCACTGAATGAAATAAATACCACCACCGCCTCAGTGGGCGAGGAGAGCAACAGCTTGTGGGCGTAACATCAGAATTACCAACCAGTCCACAGGCAGCGACAACATCAGCAGCAGCAGCAGCAGCACCCTCAACAAACGGCCGTTTGTTGACGTGATTGCAACAGCCCAGCCGCAAAGGGTACAATCGATGCCGCAGAAGTCGGAGACGACGGTGATGACCCTGTTCTAGTATTTAAGCTTTCCAAGGAGACAGACTATGTAACCAGTGAATTTATGAAGTGCACAACTCTCTATTTCCAGAATAGAAGGATTCCCCAGCACTTTTTGTAATATATGAAACCCCATCCCTCCTCCCCCTTCCCTCATTAGATTGTATTTATTTATTAATTGTAGTCAGTACTTATTGTTTATAATTGTTTTGTATTTTTTTAAGTTTAAGTTATTTATGTTTGAGTTTAGTTTAGTGTTTTTATACAACAAATTAAAATGAAAATAAGTCCTCAAAAGTTATACTGAAATTTTGATTGGATAAAATAACAGACTGATAAACTTAGTTCGTTCTATTTAGAGAATCGTGTGGAAGAGAGATCAAGCGAATAAAATAAAAGAAATACAAACTGAAAAATAACCAATGTAAATATATTCAATTTTTGTTTTTATTATTGGATAAGGTGAAATGACATTCGTCGTAATTAACTAATTAACGTACCGTGCCGTACCAGCACAACCCACAAACACACGCACGCACACAGCCAAAACCATTTCTTTCCATTTCATTGGCAAAAAGTGATTAGCAGTGGATTCGGTTTCATTTGGGTTCCAAAGGAGCCCCAATTGTGATCGTAGCTCCAAAATTGAATTGGAAATGAAATCGAAAGCGGAAACTCATTCAATAATTCATTGTAAATAGACATTGACGGACCGATGACACACATACACCCCGACAGCCGACAACTCTAAGGCTAATTCGAAACATTATTAATTTGTTTTTACTAAAATAAGACATCAATGAAACTTAACCTCTAAACTAAACTAACTGATAAGAGCCACACTTCTTTCCGTTAACTCAAACCAAAACTCAGCAGCCATATATAGAAAAAGAATGACATACAAACAAAAAAAAAAGAAACAGAAAAATAAAAATAAAAATTACCAATGAATAAAAAGAACAACCAAGAGAGGGGAGAGAAAAATTCATAAAAATACGATATTCCCAAGATGAAGAACAAAAAGTAATGAAATAATACAAATTGAAGGTAAAATATATTTAAAGAAGTTTTATTTTTTTTAATTTTCTCATTAAAGTACGATTCCGAGACCCCACACTCCCCAGCTTACCACCATTTCACCAAGCAAAAGCTTGACTCCAAAACATCGACGCGAACCTTACCAAAGACAAGAACAAACACAATTAATATTCCGCCAGTGTAACTAATAAAAACTAATTTCCTTCAATCGAAGACTTCAAAGCAGAATGATAACAATTAAAAAGTCGTAGCTGAAAAACGTAAAATAGTAGGCAAAGGCCAGTCATCGTGTCACAGTCAAACAAGTTAAGTAAGCAAACACACACCGTGGCCACATTAAACACTCATTAAATTCAAAATCAACAAAAAGAAAAACGTCAAATATATCTCTCTGTGCAAACGAAGACAATATAGTATTCGATGGAAAAATGGAAATTTCCATCTTTGGTCAGGTTAAAATATGACTGTGTACTACCGAAAATCGAATCTCGTAAAGTTTGAATACGCTTTAATTTCACATTCAGAAAATATGATTCGGGCCGTGCATTTATATTTATGAAAATGCACACAATACAGGCACAAGGGGTTCTTGTGAAATGAGAAAATCTTAGGTATAGATCAAGTCTTCAAAAAAGTTACTGAGCCGATTTGTTTAAGGGTCCCTTGTAATTGTATTTTTATTATAAATTATTATTATAATTTAAGGTATAGTTAGCTATAAATATATTTTTTATGAAAAAAAAACGAAATCTTCCGTATTCCCCATACCATGTGGCTCAATATTGTCGTATCCAAATTTCACCAAATAGGAACCAAATGGAAACTTAGAATAACCTAAAGAACATTGTAAAAAAAAAAACAAAACCAAACAACGGTAGCACGTTTTTTTTCTTCTTAAATAAGTTGTACAAAAATAATAAAAATACAGAAACACACTTGAAGAAAATTTTAGACTACATTGTAATGCAAAAAAAATCTAAAACCACAAAAGCCAAGAAACCAACAACAAATGCAACGAATTATACTCGTCGTATAAAGAAAAGGAGAAGCTGAGCATTTTTTTTTTAATTGAAATTTTCTTCACCGTCCCCCGCCTTGTATTTCCTTCCCACACATACACATCCATCAAAATGAAAGAATTTTTATTTCATTTCCTTTCGGTTCACTTCACTGTTCATTTATTACAACAAACCAAACATGAGAACAAAATCGATTTCAGTTCAACATCATCATAACAATCATCAGCATCACTACTACTACTGCCAAATTTCTATATGCACATGCATGCATACATGCTCACAGACAGACAGACAGACAGACAGACGTAACATATGTATGTTTATTATTATGTTCCTATTAGTTATTATAAATGCAAAAATGCTATGCCATAAAATCCATAATCCGATCAATAAATTTTAAATAGTTTTATATATGTTTATTATTTGTGTTTTTTATTCTATATTTGTTTTATTATGTGTTTTTCTTTTCATCCTCTCTTTGTTTATTTATTATATAAATTCTTAAAACTATTTTATAACAATACTTTCTCTTGAATATATATACAACAGTAAATAACGTACGAAGTATTGTTTAAGCAATACTCTAAGTTCAAATAATAAAAATAACAAAATGAAAAAAAAAACGAAATTTACAAAACAAATTATTAAATCGAAAAAAAAACCAACAACCACTAAACCTTAAATTAAAAAAAAAATGATTCAATAAATAATTATTTGAATATTGCAAAAAAAATGAGAAAAAATATTCAAAGGAAAAAATAATTAAAGACACGGCTGTTTTTATGAGGGTTTTGATTGAATGTAAGTATGAATATTTATTTAAAACAATTAGTTTTGTTAGAAGCATGCAAGTGACAAATGTTATTCTTAAAAAAACATTTCATGTATTACGTTTCGCTTCGTATTACGTTTCGCTGGCTTAACATATAAAGAATCGATGTCCACTCTATTTAGAAATTGATATTAAACATCGCCAGCTATAGTTTACTTGCGTTAGCGTTTTTTCAATCTCAACGAATTTAAAAATTATTTTTTTTAAGCTTCGATTCAGGTTTTTTTCTACTTCCGGCTCATACCGCTGCTTACAACGAGCCCTGGTTTCCACAATGGAAATCCATGATTCTTAGGGAAATTAATGTTCAGTTATTCAGAAAAATGGAAGACCGAACAACCAAAAAAACATGCCGTTAACATACGCCTGAATTTCATTACATACACTATGATCCGCATGTACAGATTCGAGATCAAGGTTATATATTGATTTTATTATTATCCTCTTAAATCCGTCGTATTATCGCCATTGAGTTGTTGGAGACTACCATCTTTACAATATCTTCTCAGATGAGTTTTTTTTCTGTTTGATACCTTAAAATATCAATTTTGATTTGCTGCAATCTTCGATAACAGATTGATGACTCAATATTTTATTTGACAGATATAGTTGTCGTTTTGGTTATATTAGGTCCACTTTTTTAATCGTTGTCAGAGGATTTGGATTTGTAAAAATGTCCATATGTTTCAGATATTTTTGTTGTTATTATAATTCGTTAATCCTATACAGTTGTGCATACAATGTCCTATTATCTAAAAGAATTTAGTTGTAAAGCTATTCTATTAAATATCTTGGCAATTTAATATCCATGCGAATGAAACTAGATTTGTTGCATAAAATTTAATTCGCTTCAAATGTAAAATTTAATTGAAATGGACCATCATAATTGCTAATTAAAAAAACAGAAGCACCCGCAAGCAAGCAGCAGTTCAAATAAATCCAGTGCGATAAATTTGTTTTAGTAGCGACCCCGGTTCATCCATTGTACGTTATTAATTAATGTTCGTTAATGAAAACTCCCACAAAATCTCACTTAAACACTTGCAACTAATTAATATATGACCATAAAAGCATCAATAGCTCTCTATAGTTCTCTGCTCATGCATACGAAGCTTATGCAGAGGTAGCAAAAAAGGATATGCAAATAAGTTATACACTGATGAACAAAATTCAATTTCATGATAGTGACTATAAACCTGCAAAAGGAGTTTATATTTGCAACTAAATAAAAGCTAAATTGCAGCTTCCAAAATTCATAACCAACATTGTCATATGAAATACAGTTTTAATAAAAGTCGAATTCAAATAGGTTCACAATCATTGTTGCCCAGTGTAAGTGTCATTAATATTATCATTACATAGTTCGAAACAAAAAAACTGCAAAAAAAAACATTAATACGTTGCATAAACAAACAAACTAGCAACAGAGAAAAAAACTCTCGAATATAAACTATAAAATGTCATTCATTAAATTAATTATATTTTATTTGAAACGAGACTTTTAATTGTTTAAATAAATTATGTTTCATTCAAGCCCACATAAATTTAATGTATTTATAGCGTATTGTATAGGAATGTGTGTCTGTGTGTGTATGAGCGCGCTCAGGCAGTTATGTGGAAAATTGTTAAAATATGTTTTGGACTTGACGTATTTTGTAATTTGGCCACTTTTAATTTCGCCACCCAAAAGACAAAAAAATAAAACACAAACACAACTCTCAAACCAATACAAACTCGTAAATATTGCAAGCGAATGCATACGATAATGCACCTATGACCCAACTCATTCAGAAAAAGAGACCTTGTGTGCAAGTGTGTGTGTGTGTTTCAAGAGAGTTATTACATGTCCTTAAATAGTTTTAGCCCAGCCACCATCATCAACCACAACTTACATGCATGCATACGTACATATACATACATATATTCCTATTAATGTCATCATAAATTTCGTTGTTGTAAAACAACAAACAACACATCATCAACAACAATATGGTTGGTTTTTATTCCTTCCCTCCGAT